CGTGGGCCTTGTGTAGGGGGCTGTTTCGTAGCCTCGCTGTCAGCGTGCTGCTTTATGCTTGTCAAGTTTGGTCTTTGGATTTACTCGATATCATTGAGGGGGTGCAGCTTACTTTTATCAAAAGATTATTATGCTTACCGAACTGCACACCTAATTATGCAGTCAGGTTCGAGGCAGGTTATCTTCCCCTGGCTTACGAAGTTCTTAAACTCACGCTTTCTTGGTTAAATAAAATTTCACAGATGGATTCTTCACGGTACCCAAGACAGTGTGCGGAGAGACTACTTTTGATGGCCAAAGGTAATTCGGTTAACAATAAATTTAATTGGTTCACAAAATTGGAGGGTCACTTTTTCAAACCTTGTGGTCTTATCGACGCGCTATCTTTCATGAATGTAAATATCTATAATTGGAACGAACAAAAAATTCTAAGTGATTATGCTAATTTCCTCAAAGGAAAAGATTTTAGGTGCATTGAAATTTCTAAAAGCCTGGTAATTTATCCCTATCTTAATTTTCACACGAATTCGCGAAGCTATCTCGATTTAAATATTCCAATCTATTTTAAAAAAATTTTAGCCCAAATCAGACTGCTTAACAAACACGCGACTCGGATCATTTTTGATAAGACTAAATATAAATTCCATGTTGATAAAAAGTGTACCTCTTGCTGCCTCGATAATGAAAGCTTTCTACATATTTTAATTCAATGTCCGGCTAGTGAACATTTGCTTCTGCGTGCGTTTGACCGGGAGCCTAGTAATCCGTTTTCCGTCGATGAATGGTATGAAATAATGTCTTCGAATAGTAGCTTAATAATTAAAAAATTTGTTAATATAGTGGTCAAGATATTGTCAGAGCGTATGAATCGGTGAGAGCGATTATTTTAATTAACAGAAATTTTCTATTATATTTTTTGTACTACATCAAATTTCCGGAACTCACTTGTATGTACGTCATGTACTGTAATCAAGTTAAATAAATAAATATTTTGAATTGTGTATGTTCGGTTTCAAGTGGTTTTTCTTCTTTTGTGTAGACATTTCTAGATAACGCATCTGGGTTAGTATTTAATTTCCCTGATTTATGCTTAAATTCGTATAAATAGTCTCGCAATTTTAATCTCCACCTTATTAATCTTTGTCCTGGGTCTTTAATGGTGTCTATCCATCTTAAGGGTTCATGATCGCTGACCAAAGTGAATTTCTTTCCATATATATACGGTCTAAAATAATGCACAGCATATAGAACTGCTAGACATTCCTTTTCTGTTGTTGAGTAATTTATTTCAGGCGCAGTTAATACTAGAGAAAGATAGCCAATAGGTAGATCAAATCCATCCTCTTCTTGACTTAATACAGCTCCTATAGCGAAATCTGAAGCGTCTGTTATCAATGTGAAAGGCTTATCGTAATCAGGATATTGTAAAATCGGTGCCTACCTTATATACCATCTGATTCTATAGGAAAATCGGAAGTTACCACTTGAAAAGTAATCAATTTGGAATCTATTTCTACTTTTACGGTTCCTAAAGTAGATGTCTTTATAGGAGTTATTCCAGTTATTTGTATTGCTTCATCCTGTTTGACTTCTAAATCTGGTTGTAGTACACATAATTTAATTAAATTTACATCTGCTCCAGTATCTACTAATAAAAGTGCTATTGCTTCCAAGAAACTAGGGGAATTTATGGTGATTACTGGGGATTCTCAATTATTTTTGGCGTGCAAGATTGTTCCATTTTTCTCAAAATTCTCACGCTTGTAGGACGCTCCTTTTGTTCCACACTCGTCGTCGCGTCCGTTCGTCGAGGGATGTTGGAGTTTAAAAGATCCTTTTCAGAATGTTTAGGAGATTGTGCACGAGGAAGCGTTCTATTCCCTTCGTATGGTTTATCATTGTGCATTTGTGGTGATGAAGAATGAGGAAAATAAGGGTAAGGATTATAAGGAACATATGCATTTGGAGGATAATGATTTGGGTGTTGAAAGTATGGTTGTTGATGACTGGTATGGTTGGTATGGATTTTTCAATATACCAAAAGGAATAGGAGATTGAGCATGATGTCTCATTGCTTCATTGGATGAGCAAATCGTACTCTAGGACTAGGGCTTCGTTCTCTAGAACCATAATCACTTGATTGAGAATTTCGTGAATAATGATATGCATTATATTCCGCTTTATGATACTGATGTCGGGTTTCAAATTCCAAAGCAAATTTTAATGCTTCTTCAATGGTTGTAGGATTTCTAGCTTCTAGAATACTAGACATACCATCTGGTAAACCTCGGGTGAATGCTTCTAATGCACATTCAACTAAGGGTTCCATCATAGTATTTGATCTTTCGACACCATATTTATCCTGAAGAGCAGCCTTAGCTCCTGCCATCAAGAGCAATATTTTGTCGTAAAACTCACTCACGCTATCATTTCGGCCCATACGAATTGTAGATATTTCTTGTAGATACCATGTATATGACTTGCGATGAGCAAATCTTTGTTTTAAATGTTGGATTAATTCGTCTATGGTATTAAAATTCTTACCTTGTATACTATCTCTAGCTACACCTTTTAATCTGTCAAGAATTGCCTTTAAATATTGTTTTTCACAATTAATAGGAATATTAGACTCACTATTTATTATATCTTCTATAAAAACTCTTACAGAAATGTTTTTACCATCATAAAAAGGAATATTCATTATGCCCTGTTGCAACGCAAAACACTCAGCCATTGATGTAATCATGGCATCGTTTAAAGTCCTATCAATATTATCGGATAAGTTACTTGTTTGTGGTCTATCTGTAGCCATGATTATAAGTTTACTAAAAACGGAAGGAATGAATAAAATATTTCGTTAATTATATCAAATGAAAATGGTAACCCTAAAATTCCAGCAATATTAGAATTACTCTCACTATTAATAGTTTGGAATTCTAAAACTGTATAATTGATGCAAACTTTTGCTTCTCCGATAGTGTTGACTGTACTATCTCTTAGGGAATATTTAATTATGCGATTTATTCCTAAAAAGGGAATTAATTCATTTTCTTTAATTAAATTGATTGGTAAAGATGGGTCAAATATGAATAAACACTCGTGATCCTTAAAGAAATATGATTCCAAATGAATTTTTGGATATAATTGATTATATTTTTCAATAAAATGAAAGTATGAGTTCATAGGGGAATACGGATAATGGCGGCTTGGAACCGTATAGCCGTATTGGTACTAGGGAGTTTAGTGTTATCGCACTATTGTCTGTCTGACACAGCTCGTCTTGTACTACTTACGAACTAACGCACTTGGCGCTAGACAGTAGTGCGAGAGTATAAAATCAAACTTTCGCGCCTGTTTACAACTGCAACCTCTTATGCTAGTATATTCGCCTGATATCTTTTCTCAAGAGGGCTTTATTTAAACTTAGATTTCTCCTAAATTTTGTGTGTTGATAGGTTTATGCGCAATTATTATTGATACTGTTCCTGAGGTGAAGATTGGTCCTGGAGTCAATAATAGAGATTCGGATCTATTAATTGTTGTACCTGGAGCCAATTTATTGTCGTTAATCAGGTTAATATCTAAACAAGGATTAACTATGAAGAGTCCTCTATTTTCTTTTAAATTTTGGGAAGATATGTGAATATTTGGGTAAGAATTCCAATAATCTCTGTTTCACTTTGATAATCGATAGCTTCAAATCTTAGAGAGAAATCGCTAAATTCTATTAATGCACTACCACTTGTGCAAATTGCACCTTGTCTTGCTGTTATTATGACGTTTTTATCTATAGATACAAACGATGATATTGCTGATTCTTTTACCAAATTTATTGTTAATGTATGATCAATAAGAAAATTACCTTTATGTGATTTGAAATTACCTGAGATTAATTCATCGTAAGGATAATTATGTTGATTATATTCAAGAATTGAGAAGTAATTATTCATTTGTGGTTACTAACCGAATTTTTAATGATAAACTGTCCACCAAAATATGGCGAAAAACATTACATATACAAGGAATGTAATAAAATAAACAAAATACATTATGAATTTGATTATAAACTTTTTACTTTAATTATTGTTTACGGATATTAACTGTTCTGTTTGATGTAATAGTAAATCGAAGAATGTAGAAAAATATTGTTGATTTTGAAGAATTATTATATTAAGATTATCGGTTTTATCAAATCGCCTTTTTGCGTTTGTTCCTCCTCTATTTCTGGGTTTTTTTTATCAATTTTTGGTTTATCTGGCATAATCTAATCTGACTGAAAATAACATTGTTATTTTAGAATATTGATATTACAAATAAATCAAAAATTGAGACTTCTTTTCAATTGTTTGTGTAAATCAAGGGCTTAGACAGAATTCACCGAACGGCGTAAAACGTCGAGTACAAAGTCAAAATTCGCCGGACGGCGTAAAATTGACCCTGCTAAGACCTCAAAATTCCAAACAATGATATTATCAAAATTTATTGATATGAAAACCTCGCCGAACGGCGTAGATCTCCAATTTTCAAAGCTATAGTTCGCCGGACGGCGTAAAAATAGCTTACTCAATAATATTTTGAATGATTTTATGAATTTATTAAACAGTCGGTTTTAAACACCCTAATTCTCAGGTTCGCCGGACGGCGTAAAATGAAAATATAACAAATTCTGTAATTCGCCGGACGGCGTAAGAACAAAACTGCTAGAGAATTTAAAATGACCCTTTACAAATGTTTATAGTGAAATATATGAATAAACATTTAATGAAATATGATGTGTTTATAAGAGTGATATAATTGATTTTGAATAAATTTGAACCATTAAAAATTTTGTTTGTTCTAAATAAAGATGCCGAATTATTTGAGAATTTTCATAAAATTGTTTTTGCAACAAAAGTGACAATCCCACCGCTGCCACCAAATCAGCTGTTACGTTCCGAACTAGGCGTGGTTCTTAAATAAAATGAATTTTATTTACTTGAAGGTAATAAGGCTGATTAGGGTGAAGTCCCATGCTTGCGTTTTGTTTTGCGTTTCCGACAGTTGTGCGTTTTTTCCAATGTGTTCCATCTCTGCTATACCTGAGCTTCCGTCTTTGCTGTTTGTTTTGTTTTAAAGGTTTGAATGTTGCTTTGAAGTGTTTTTAGTGTTTATTTAATAATTACAAGACTAGATTTTGATAATAATAAAGTTTAATAAAAAGTAAAAATAATTAGAAAAAATAATTTTATAAAGAAGGTAAAATTAAACATGTCGGAGGAAAACGTGCAGGTAGGATAATTGTTGAGGTTATATGTATTTTCATTGTAATTAAAATGTTATTCATTTTAATCATTTTTAATGATATTGTTCTTTTAATGTAAACTACTATAATAACTAATTGAGAATCAAGATTTCAGAAGTTGATAATTCCATATTTTGTTTTTTGGAGAAATTTAAACAAATGTAATTTTTCACATAACCCCTAAAGTTAAATTTGAGCTAAAAAATTGTAATTGATTATTTATACAAGAGTTTTTTTTCTGAATTTAAGATGTTTTGTTTTTAAATAAAGTTTATTTTAATTAGAAGATTTAAAGGTTTTTTTAATTTTTCCTAATATAAAAAGTTAATATTACAAATCATCTAGGTTAAGCTTAGATGTTTTATAATTGAAAATTCTTTGTTAATAAAATTTTTTTCTGAAATTCAAGAGTGATAGATCGATTTGTATGGTCTTTAATATATTAAATCTGTGTTTATCTACATTTTTTTGAAAAATTGATTTATTCACTTTTGTATTGTCTTGAAAATTAATATTCAAAATAATTTGCATAGGTGGCCAATCACTGCTGGAATTGTAACTGGCGAATTTGGAATGTCAATTACGAAAATATTATAAAGCATTCATGTTTTGCAAATTTTAATGAATACAAGTATTGTCTCTTGATTAGTACGAATGGAATTGTTAGCATGAGTAAGTTTTTTTTCGTTTCTTTAATTATTTCTATTATCATGCAGGTTTTTCAAAAAAAATTGTTATTCTTGTAATTTATTAACTTTAAGAATGAAAATGTTTTTAATTTTGTCAATTACATATTTTGATTAAATTATGCTATTTAAATAATGAAGTTTCTTAAGTTTCAAAAGTATAAAATTTATAAGAAAATTAACGAATGGAATCATCCATAAAACATGTGATATATTTTTTCAAAATTTTAACACCCACCCACCTCCCTCGTATTCCTTTTTTATATTAACAGTTAACATGAATTGTGATATTTGGTTTATCCCTATTTACTTCCTATTTTATCATATGATTTATAGATGACCTTATAATTTAATAAAAGTACTTTCTATAAGTATTAAGGAAATGCTTAAAAGTTAATGCAAGGCAATAATACGCTCTATTTCAGCGTTTATGAAAAAAAATTAAATTTTTTAATGAAAGTAAAAACAAAAGGTATTTTTTTTATTGATACTTCTCTTAACAGTGTGTTATTAGAAAAATATTATGTTAATATAGAGGAACTATCAGCTAAAGAAAAAAAATGTGCTGTTGAAGTTCGTTTGATTAGGGCCCATTATGAAAGGCCAAGTTTGTACAATAAAGAGGCTCAACGATCGGTATCTCCTGAGGAAAGAGAACAGTTATGGCAGGAAGTTGCCGAAATTGTATGTACAGGTTAGTTTAATGCTCTATATTTTTAAGTACTTGAATATTTTTGAGTTCTATATTTTACTCTGAAATTCTAAATTTTAGAGAATTTGAAATATGAAAAGCTTTAAATTATTTGATCTGCTTACGAGCTTTTTTGCACACCTATAATAACTTTTTAATAGTGTAAGAAATTGAATCATGTGCTTCAAAATTTATTATTAATTGTGGAATCTTCTGTCAATAGAATGGTCAGGTGCTGATGCAAAAAAAAAATGGCGAAACTTACGGGACCAATTTAAAAAAGCCTTAAAAAAAGGTAAACCCGAACTTTTCCGTCACTATAATGAAATGATATTTTTGGAAGAAGATGGCAATGATGGGTATGTTTAAATATTGTGTTATAACTTTGTAATTATTCATTTGTATTTTAAAATTGTCATGTGCTTGATTGTCAAGCACAAGTAAATTGTCAATTGCTTGATGAAAAATTTTGAATTACTTTATTTAAGTAACGTTTGAAAATGAAATAATTTTACATGTTAGATAAAAAGTAAATAAAAGTAAGTTTTTTAAAGTTATTGTGAAATAAGTATTTGCTAAGTTTAGTATGTTTTAATTTGGAAAATGGAATATTCACTCGATTCACCAACTTGCTGTTATTAGTACAAATTAATTTTATAAAACAATTAAAAGTAAAATAAATCATTAACTTTATTTTTTTCAATAAGACTTATTATCATTGAAGCAACATGTAAAATAATAAGTAATATTTCAAAATTCAATCAACAATAATAATTAGTGGTAATAACAATTGTTAAAATTTAAAAGCTTTTGATTATTATTATTTATATTACAAATCTGCGACTTTGTTTACTTATCATTATTATTATTTTAAACAATGCATTGACATTTTAATTTTTCTGTTTACAACATAATTTGATAAAATTATCATTTAAGAGACACATTGGATGATTCGGTATTGCGGCAGTTACCCACAAGTAATTCGGTATTGCGAGAGTCACCTGCAAGTAATTCGGCCAATAAGCGACTTAGAAGATCATCAGATTTCAGTCTTGATGGAAACGATTCTGATATAGAATTTAATGCAACTTCTGCAACGTAAGTATTTACAAATAAAATAATAAAGCTTGAGATATGTGCAAAGTAATTAATTTCACACTCATAAAAAATATACTTTTTACAAAATTAATTTAGGATTATATGCATTAAAAAATTCGACATGTCATAAGTCATTCATATAATTATTATTCTTCAATAGAGGAACTTCCAGAAACGAAAACAATGAAAATGCGCCTCATTCAGGAATAATTAGGAATGATGAACTGTCAACTTCATCGAGCCAAAAAAAAGATAAAAGTACGAAAAGCAGTTAACTTTTTTGAAATTTAAATAAATAAGGCTGTTTAAAACATGATTAATCATTTTTTGACTAATATTTTGATCTTTTTCAACAGCATTGAGCAAAAAAGAGGAGTTACAAATGTTAATTTTAGAAAAAATTCAGTCACACAAGATTCCAAAAGCAGATCATACGGATATGCTGTTTTCCAGCTTCAGTGCAACGTTCAAACAATTACAACCTCCACGTCAACTTAGAGTTCATAGACTATTCATTGAAATTTTGGAACGAGAGTATAATTAACAAATAACTCAAGAGCAGTACGATTTAAACTAGATTTTTTAGAAATACTTTTCGTTATATTTTCAAATCTTCTTCTATTAAATATAAGGTTTACATAATTCTATAAGGTTATTTCGTTCTAGTAGTGGTTTTACATTACAAGTTATTAAATATATGAGTAAATATGTCAAATATTAAAAATTATGTTTGTTACTTATTATTATTTTACTATGTGTGATTTAAAACTTTTTCTAATAGTTGTTTTAGCTAAAAAGTGATAAAAAATCGTAAGACTTTCAAACGTTGTTCTAAGCATCTGTATTCTTACAAATATTTAATGATGGACGATTAAAAAGTTCGTTCTGTTAGATTTAAATTTAAAAAAATTTATTAATATAATCATAATTTGTTTTATGTTATTGCAAGGCACTAGAAAATAACCAAATATCAAACCTTTTTTTATAGTTGGTTTTGCCAAAAAGTATTAAATAGTCTTAATAAATCGGAAAGTTGTTGTAAGCATAAATGTTTATAAATGTTAAATATTGGAAGATTAAAAAGTTCTTTTTGTTATAGTTACGTTATAAAAAATGTATTACTAGATATAAATTATTTCATAATTCACTGCAAGATATTATAAAAAAACCAAATATCAAAACGTTTTGTAATAATTGCTTTTGCTAAAAAGTGATGATCTTCAGACTTCCGAAAGTTGTTATAATCATTAGTATTTTGTTAAATATTATATGCTGAAAAGAATTCTAAAAAAATCAAATATTTGAGTTACTTTCATAAGTTTGTATCTTTTTAAATTATATTCACGGTATGTATGGGAGAAAGGTTTCATAAATATTTATACGCCACTTTTTAAAATACCTAATGTAATAAAAAAGGATAATTTTATTTATAATAAATATGTAGCTATTTGCACTTCTGCATTTTCCCATTTGTAATAAAATTGTAATTGAAAACGAAATTTTAAAAGTCATTTTGTAGCACTTTCTCATATTGCCATGATAAGGATCCTTCGGGCGAAACAAAGTAGTCAGCAAAATTATTGCGCACTGTATTTTCATTGGGATTATTTAAAGTCTGTTGTGCCATTTCATTTTGTGTTGGTATACTCTGTAATCCTGCAATAAAAGTTACATAATTTGAAATGTACATATTTCATTAATCGTATTTAATTCATAATTAATTTTTAATTCTTTTTTTGTCATAAAATGATAAACAAATATATTAAATTGTAGGGTAAACTAGGCAGAGATAACCATTTTACTTGAAAATTAGTTTTTTACGTTTTATAAACTTGACACTATACGTAAATAATAACAATGACAGTATGTAAATATGCGTCCTTAGTTTCGAATCGATTGGTAATAAAGCAGCCGGATTACAGTACTCATTCTAAGAACTATCTTTTTTATTTTAAGCCTTTTTTCTGAAGTCTTGCTGTACGATTAACTAATTTAAAATAATTTGTTACTGATTTTTATTATTTTTTTCTTTTCAATATTTAGTAACTTCGTGCCGCTTAGTTTGGTTTGTGTTACATATTAGTGACGGAAGGATGAAGGTGATTAGATCCCTAATACCCCTAAGTATTAGTGTGTGAAAACCAGTTCTAAAAATCGCGTAAAATGGCTATATCTTAAAATAAAGAAGAGACCGAAAGTTGTATTTATTGAGTAAAATGTAGCCAATAATGAGAAATATTAAGGGTTTGAAAGATTTATCAATCTTTAAATCCCTTCTTAGTATTTCTCAGGCTCCAAATTCAAAACCACAGTTCGAAAAGTGACAATTGATGGTCTTTGCCCAGTCTACCCTATATAAAGAATGCAATTTTTGAGTTGTGACATCTAACTCAATGTTTCTGAAATCTCGTACCGTTCACGGGTTGCAATCGTTCAACTGGTGTTAAATGAGTGTACTGATAGTTATTTTCAGGATTACTCAAAGACTCTGTTATTATCCAATTATGAAGACATGTAGTAGCTTGAATAATCCTTTTAACCAGTGTCGTGGAGCCTATGATTTCCTTCCTGTATATCCTCCAACGAGCTGTAAGGATACCGAAAGCACTTTCTACCATTCGCCTTGCTCGACTTAAACGGTAGTTGAATACCTTTTTCTTAATATTTAATTGCTTGCTTCGAGGATAAGGTCTCATACAGTAACTTGTTAATGAAAATGCTTCATCCGCAACAAGAACATACGGTAGAGCAGGAGTATTTGCATTTATTGCTTCTGGCTTAGGTACATCGAATGTATTTGTTGAAAATTTCTTAAACATAACGCTTTCAGCAAATACTCCACCATCGCTTCTTCTTCCTGGTGCACCAATATCAAGCGCAATGAATCGATAGTGTGCATCGCTTATTGCCATTAAATTCATGCTAAACCTTGACTTGTAGCTATAATACTGAGAACCAGAATTCGGTGGAGCCTAAAAAAATATTTTTCTTAATTTCTTATAATTAATTTGCAATTTGCACTGTAAACTTATCAATTACCTGCATAACAACTAATTTTCCATCGATTGCACCGATGCAGTGAGGAAAATTCCACTTTTCTTCAAAACTCCTTGCATGGGATAACCACCCTTCTTTTGTTAATCGAGGAAAAGCTATACCTTTTAAAGATATCCAAATAGCTCTACAGGTTTCTCTTACAATTTTCGATACTGTATTGTGTCCAACTCGAAATTGATAGGCAATAGATTCCATGGAATCACCAGAAGCAAGATAACGAAGGCAAATATGCAATCTGGTATGAGTTGGAATTGGTTTTCGAATCACATATTTTTTTTTAATGTGAGGTTGAACTTTTTTTAATAGTTTGTAAAACATTTTCTTTGTAATGCGCAAGTATTTTAAATATTGTTCTTTGTCTTCAGTTTCCATTTCGAAAACTAGATTGTCACTTGCACCTTGTGCTCTTCGACGTTGAACACTGAAGATTGGTCGAACCCAAAACTTTCGTTTACTTTGTAAACACTCTATTTTCTCAAGTTCTAGATATAGAATGTACATATGGAGAATATGTTCCTGTGTTTCGATAGGTGATGAAGCTATTTGCGGCGATGATTCATATAAAGTTAATAGCCAATTTAAGTAAAGCAGAATGTCCAGTGCTTTCATTTTAGAAATCTTTATGACTTGCAGTATATATTGTAAATAATTATACTATATGGGCAATTACTTCATATTCATTGAATTTTTGATATCTTAGCCTGGTCCTCAACCTGCAAAAAATATAATACATTTTTAAGGAAACAGTAAGCTAGTACACAAATAAGTTGTTATAATTTCGTAGGATCAAATTTGAAAAAATATAACTTCAATTTATTAGAATTTTATAAGGAAAACTTTATGTTGAAACTGAATTTTGATATCGATAGAGATAGGAACTTTGTGCATAAAAGCATAATTTTCATCGAAACTTTTTAAATGATTTAAAGCATCTTAAAACCTTACAAAAAGTTTTTTTCAATAGAAATTTCCTTAAATTTAATCAGCAACAAAATATAATTTTTCTATTTAAGAAGAAGAATTTAATTTAAGCATAATTCGGCTTTTTTAAAAAAATTAAAAAGTTCCTATCTCTAAATGTCAAAGAATTTTTATTTAAATGAATTTTTAAATAATAAAATTTCTACTTATCCGAAATTTTATATAATAAATTGTGTAGTTCACATAATTTTCATCCAACGCAATTTTCATTTAACCAAATTAATATTTTATAAAATTTTAATAAAAAATTTTTTTTGTGTAACATAGTTGTTCATTAAGCAAATTTCTAATTAATTAAATACTAGCGATGTATTCCTCGCTCGCTAACGCACGCTCGGTTAAAATTGTACTTATTGTTGTTTACTTATTGTAGTTTATGTATATTATATATATAATTTATGTTTTAAATTAATATATAATTAATATTGTATAAAATTTATCTTAATTTTGATCAGTTCCATTGAAGGATGAAATGACAATTGTTAAATATTAGATTTTTTTTATTATAATTATGACAACAATATTAATTATATTATATTATAATATATTTTTTTTATCTTAAATTATATTATATTATATTATATTGATGTAAATTGTCCCACAAACACATGTAGATTTTGCAAATTTTTGAGAAAAATATTCGTAATAAATCGAAATACTTTTTAAAATATCGGTTTTTATTTTTATTATCTATAGTAAACCGTTATAAAGAGATTCTTGTTTGATTTTACATATATTACTAGTTCTCCGGAATAATGATGTATTTGAATTAAATAATGATGTTGTTAAACGAATGACAGGTGAACCTAGAGAATATTTAAGTAAAGATTCATCTGAAGAAGATGAAAAGTGTGACACAATAACTAACTTAATACCAATTGAAGTATTAAATAGTTTAACTCCAAATGGACTTCCTCCTCACAAATTAATATTAAAGATTGGTGCAATTGTGATACTTTTAAGGAATATTAATTTAGAAAGAGGTCTTTGTAATGGAACAAGACTAAAAGTTATTAAAATGGGTAGTTTTTCTATTCATGCACAAGTAATAACGCGAAATTATAAAAATGAGATTGTAATTTTGCCACGAATTACATTCTCACCGTCTAACGAAGAAATACCATTTCAAATGTCAAGAAAGCAATTTCAAATAAGGCTTGGATTTGCTTTAACAAAAAAGATAGGCAATGAAAAAGAAATTTATGTAAGAAACATTGTTTACCAAGAAGTATTACAATAATATTTAACACATGTTTTAAAAAAATTCGACTACGAAGAAATCTACTAACTCTACTTTATAAATAAATTAATTCATTGAATTGGAAATGGCTGCGCTGAACAGTAACGGCAGCGCCATAAAAAAATATTATAATTATTATTATACTGATCATATCGCATAGAAAGGATTAAAAAACCATTTAAAAGAAAAAAATATATAAAATATGCTCCCTCATTAACAAAAATATATAAAATATAATCAAGTAATAACAAAAACTGTAAACTGGCTGCGCTGAGTAGTAACGGCTGCGTAACATAAAGAAAATAATATAATAAATTATAATAATTTATTAATAACATCACTCATATAAAACTAAATTATAAAAAATTAATTTAAAAATTAATAAGAAATAAAACAACTTACGAAAATTGCAGAATGGATGCCATAAATAAGTTAAAACATATTATAACTTTACATTATTGTAAATGAAAATTAAGTATTAAAAATAAAAAAATCAATATTTTTCAAAGTCCCTAATTTTTTTGGACTTATAAAAAAAAATAGTTTGTAAGATTTTCTAACAGTATATATGCAAAGTATGGTATTTCGAAATTTGTTAACTTAATATAATAGAAGATGTTTCGTTTTAAATTAAGAAATGTTAAAATTATTAAGTTAAAAACATTTTATTTTAATGACACTTAAAATAAGACACAATATTATAGGTTACTAACTAAAAATTGAAAAAACTACAATAAATAATAAAAAATAATAATAAAAAATTGAAAAAATCAAAAAATTCTTAAAAAATTGAAAATAACCCTTTTTCGGGTTAAAATTGAAAAAAGATGTTACATAAAAATAGTTTGTAAGATTTTCTAACAGCATATATGCAAAGTATTTTGATTTATTTGAAAATAATTGAAAATAGATTTTTCAAGGACGGTGTCGAGGTCACGGGGTCGGTGTCGTTTTTCGAAATTTGTTAACTTAATATAATAGAAGATGTTTCGTTTTAAATTAAGAAATGTTAAAATTATTAAGTTAAAAACATTTGATTTTAATGACACTTAAAATTAGACACAATATTATAGGTTACTAACTAAAAATTGAAAAAACAACAATAAATAATAAAAAATAATAATAAAAAATTGAAAAAATCAAAAAATTCTAAAAAAATTGCAAAATAACCCTTTTTCGGGTTAAAATTGCAAAAAGATGTTACATAAAAATAGTTTGTAAGATTTTCTAACAGCATATATGCAAAGTATTTTGATTTATTTGAAAATAATTGAAAATAGATTTTTCAAGGACGGCGTCGAGGTCACGGGGTCGGTGTCGTTTTTCGAAATTTGTTAACTTAATATAATAGAAGATGTTTCGTTTTAAATTAAGAAATGATAAAATTATTAAGTTAAAAACATTTGATTTTAATGACACTTAAAATTAGACACAATATTATAGGTTACTAACTAAAAATTGAAAAAACAACAATAAATAATAAAAAATAATAATAAAAAATTGAAAAAATCAAAAAATTCTAAAAAAATTGCAAAATAACCCTTTTTCGGGTTAAAATTGAAAAATAACCCTTTTTCGGGTTAAAATTGAAAAAAGATGTTACATAAAAATAGTTTGTAAGATTTTCTAACAGCATATATGCAAAGTATTTTGATTTATTTGAAAATAATTGAAAATAGATTTTTCAAGGACGGCGTCGAGGTCACGGGGTCGGTGTCGTTTTTCGAAATTTGTTAACTTAATATAATAGAAGATGTTTCGTTTTAAATTAAGAAATGATAAAATTATTAAGTTAAAAACATTTGATTTTAATGACACTTAAAATTAGACACAATATTATAGGTTACTAACTAAAAATTGAAAAAACAACAATAAATAATAAAAAATAATAATAAAAAATTGAAAAAATCAAAAAATTCTTAAAAAATTGTAAAATAACCCTTTTTCGGGTTAAAATTTCAAAATAACCCTTTTTCGGGTTAAAATTGAAAAAAGATGTTACATAAAAATAGTTTGTAAGATTTTCTAACAGCATATATGCAAAGTATTTTGATTTATTTGAAAATAATTGAAAATAGATTTTTCAAGGACGGTGTCGAGGTCACGGGATCGGTGTCGTTTTTCGAAATTTGTTAACTTAATAAAATAGAAGATGTTTCGTTTTAAATTAAGAAATGAAAAAATTATTAAGTTAAAAACATTTTATTTTAATGACACTTAAAATTAGACACAATACTATAGGTTACTAACTAAAAATTGAAAAAACAACAATAAATAATAAAAAATAATAATAAAAAATTGAAAAAATCAAAAAATTCTTAAAAAATTGCAAAATAACGCTTTATCGGGTTAAAATTGAAAAATAACCCTTTTTCGGGTTAAAATTGAAAAAAGATGTTACATAAAAATAGTTTGTAAGATTTTCTAACAGCATATATGCAAAGTATTTTGATTTATTTGAAAATAATTGAAAATAGATTTTTCAAGGACGGTGTCGAGGTCACGGGATCGGTGTCGTTTTTCGAAATTTGTTAACTTAATAAAATAGAAGATGTTTCGTTTTAAATTAAGAAATGAAAAAATTATTAAGTTAAAAACATTTTATTTTAATGACACTTAAAATTAGACACAATATTATAGGTTACTAACTAAAAATTGAAAAAACAACAATAAATAATAAAAAATAATAATAAAAAATTGAAAAAATCAAAAAATTCTAAAAAAATTGCAAAATAACCCTTTTTCGGGTTAAAATTGCAAAAAGATATTACATAAAAATAGTTTGTAAGATTTTCTAACAGCATATATGCAAAGTATTTTGATTTATTTGAAAATAATTGAAAATAGATTTTTCAAGGACGGCGTCGAGGTCACGGGGTCGGTGTCGTTTTTCGAAATTTGTTAACTTAATATAATAGAAGATGTTTCATTTTAAATTAAGAAATGATAAAATTATTAAGTTAAAAACATTTGATTTTAATGACACTTAAAATTAGACACAATATTATAGGTTACTAACTAAAAATTGAAAAAACAACAATAAATAATAAAAAATAATAATAAAAAATTGAAAAAATCAAAAAATTCTTAAAAAATTGCAAAATAACCCTTTTTCGGGTTAAAATTGAAAAAAGATGTTACATAAAAATAGTTCGTAAGATTTTCTAACAGCATATATGCAAAGTATTTTGATTTATTTGAAAATAATTGAAAATAGATTTTTCAAGGACGGTGTCGAGGTCACGGGGTCGGTGTCGTTTTTCGAAATTTGTTAACTTAATATAATAGAAGATGTTTCGCTTTAAATTAAGAAATGTTAAAATTATTAAGTTAAAAACATTTGATTTTAATGACACTTAAAATTAGACACAATATTATAGGTTACTAACTAAAAATTGAAAAAACAACTAAAAATTGAAAAAACAACAATAAATAATAAAAAATAATAATAAAAAATTGAAAAAATCAAAAAATTCTAAAAAAATTGCAAAATAACCCTTTTTCGGGTTAAAATTGCAAAATAACCCTTTTTCGGGTTAAAATTGCAAAAAGATGTTACATAAAAATAGTTTGTAAGATTTTCTAACAGCATATATGCAAAGTATTTTGATTTATTTGAAAATAATTGAAAATAGATTTTTCAAGGACGGCGTCGAGGTCACGGGGTCGGTGTCGTTTTTCGAAATTTGTTAACTTAATATAATAGAAGATGTTTCGTTTTAAATTAAGAAATGATAAAATTATTAAGTTAAAAACATTTGATTTTAATGACACTTAAAATTAGACACAATATTATAGGTTACTAACTAAAAATTGAAAAAACAACAATAAATAATAAAAAATAATAATAAAAAATTGAAAAAATCAAAAAATTCTTAAAAAATTGTAAAATAACCCTTTTTCGGGTTAAAATTTCAAAATAACCCTTTTTCGGGTTAAAATTGAAAAATAACCCTTTTTCGGGTTAAAATTGAAAAAAGATGTTACATAAAAATAGTTTGTAAGATTTTCTAACAGCATATATGCAAAGTATTTTGATTTATTTGAAAATAATTGAAAATAGATTTTTCAAGGACGGTGTCGAGGTCACGGGATCGGTGTCGTTTTTCGAAATTTGTTAACTTAATATAATAGAAGATGTTTCGTTTTAAATTAAGAAATGTTAAAATTATTAAGTTAAAAACATTTGATTTTAATGACACTTAAAATTAGACACAATATTATAGGTTACTAACTAAAAATTGAAAAAACAACAATAAATAATAAAAAATAATAATAAAAAATTGAAAAAATCAAAAAATTCTTAAAAAATTGCAAAATAACCCCTTTTCGGGTTAAAATTGCAAAATAACCCTTTTTCGGGTTAAAATTGAAAAATAACCCTTTTTCGGGTTAAAATTGAAAAAAGATGTTACATAAAAATAGTTTGTAAGATTTTCTAACAGCATATATGCAAAGTATTTTGATTTATTTGAAAATAATTGAAAATAGATTTTTCAAGGACGGTGTCGAGGTCACGGGGTCGGTGTCGTTTTTCGAAATTTGTTAACTTAATATAATAGAAGATGTTTCGTTTTAAATTAAGAAATGTTAAAATTATTAAGTTAAAAACATTTGATTTTAATGACACTTAAAATTAGACACAATATTATAGGTTACTAACTAAAAATTGAAAAAACAACAATAAATAATAAAAAATAATAATAAAAAATTGAAAAAATCAAAAAATTCTTAAAAAATTGCAAAATAACCCCTTTTCGGGTTAAAATTGCAAAATAACCCTTTTTCGGGTTAAAATTGAAAAATAACCCTTTTTCGGGTTAAAATTGAAAAAAGATGTTACATAAAAATAGTTTGTAAGATTTTCTAACAGCATATATGCAAAGTATTTTGATTTATTTGAAAATAATTGAAAATAGATTTTTCAAGGACGGTGTCGAGGTCACGGGGTCGGTGTCGTTTTTCGAAATTTGTTAACTTAATATAATAGAAGATGTTTCGTTTTAAATTAAGAAATGTTAAAATTATTAAGTTAAAAACATTTGATTTTAATGACACTTAAAATTAGACACAATATTATAGGTTACTAACTAAAAATTGAAAAAACAACAATAAATAATAAAAAATAATAATAAAAAATTGAAAAAATCAAAAAATTCTTAAAAAATTGCAAAATAACCCCTTTTCGGGTTAAAATTGCAAAATAACCCTTTTTCGGGTTAAAATTGAAAAATAACCCTTTTTCGGGTTAAAATTGAAAAAAGATGTTACATAAAAATAGTTTGTAAGATTTTCTAACAGCATATATGCAAAGTATTTTGATTTATTTGAAAATAATTGAAAATAGATTTTTCAAGGACGGCGTCGAGGTCACGGGGTCGGTGTCGTTTTTCGAAATTTGTTAACTTAATATAATAGAAGATGTTTCGTTTTAAATTAAGAAATGATAAAATTATTAAGTTAAAAACATTTGATTTTAATGACACTTAAAATTAGACACAATATTATAGGTTACTAACTAAAAATTGAAAAAACAACAATAAATAATAAAAAATAATAATAAAAAATTGAAAAAATCAAAAAATTCTTAAAAAATTGTAAAATAACCCTTTTTCGGGTTAAAATTTCAAAATAACCCTTTTTCGGGTTAAAATTGAAAAATAACCCTTTTTCGGGTTAAAATTGAAAAAAGATGTTACATCAAAATAGTTTGTAAGATTTTCTAACAGCATATATGCAAAGTATTTTGATTTATTTGAAAATAATTGAAAATAGATTTTTCAAGGACGGTGTCGAGGTCACGGGATCGGTGTCGTTTTTCGAAATTTGTTAACTTAATATAATAGAAGATGTTTCGTTTTAAATTAAGAAATGTTAAAATTATTAAGTTAAAAACATTTGATTTTAATGACACTTAAAATTAGACACAATATTATAGGTTACTAACTAAAAATTAAAAAAACAACAATAAATAATAAAAAATAATAATAAAAAATTGAAAAAATCAAAAAATTCTTAAAAAATTGCAAAATAACCCCTTTTCGGGTTAAAATTGCAAAATAACCCTTTTTCGGGTTAAAATTGAAAAATAACCCTTTTTCGGGTTAAAATTGAAAAAAGATGTTACATAAAAATAGTTTGTAAGATTTTCTAACAGCATATATGCAAAGTATTTTGATTTATTTGAAAATAATTGAAAATAGATTTTTCAAGGACGGTGTCGAGGTCACGGGGTCGGTGTCGTTTTTCGAAATTTGTTAACTTAATATAATAGAAGATGTTTCGTTTTAAATTAAGAAATGTTAAAATTATTAAGTTAAAAACATTTGATTTTAATGACACTTAAAATTAGACACAATATTATAGGTTACTAACTAAAAATTGAAAAAACAACAATAAATAATAAAAAATAATAATAAAAAATTGAAAAAATCAAAAAATTCTTAAAAAATTGCAAAATAACCCCTTTTCGGGTTAAAATTGCAAAATAACCCTTTTTCGGGTTAAAATTGAAAAATAACCCTTTTTCGGGTTAAAATTGAAAAAAGATGTTACATAAAAATAGTTTGTAAGATTTTCTAACAGCATATATGCAAAGTATTTTGATTTATTTGAAAATAATTGAAAATAGATTTTTCAAGGACGGTGTCGAGGTCACGGGGTCGGTGTCGTTTTTCGAAATTTGTTAACTTAATATAATAGAAGATGTTTCGTTTTAAATTAAGAAATGTTAAAATTATTAAGTTAAAAACATTTGATTTTAATGACACTTAAAATTAGACACAATATTATAGGTTACTAACTAAAAATTGAAAAAACAACTAAAAATTGAAAAAACAACAATAAATAATAAAAAATAATAATAAAAAATTGAAAAAATCAAAAAATTCTAAAAAAATTGCAAAATAACCCTTTTTCGGGTTAAAATTGCAAAATAACCCTTTTTCGGGTTAAAATTGCAAAAAGATGTTACATAAAAATAGTTTGTAAGATTTTCTAACAGCATATATGCAAAGTATTTTGATTTATTTGAAAATAATTGAAAATAGATTTTTCAAGGACGGCGTCGAGGTCACGGGGTCGGTGTCGTTTTTCGAAATTTGTTAACTTAATATAATAGAAGATGTTTCGTTTTAAATTAAGAAATGATAAAATTATTAAGTTAAAAACATTTGATTTTAATGACACTTAAAATTAGACACAATATTATAGGTTACTAACTAAAAATTGAAAAAACAACAATAAATAATAAAAAATAATAATAAAAAATTGAAAAAATCAAAAAATTCTTAAAAAATTGTAAAATAACCCTTTTTCGGGTTAAAATTTCAAAATAACCCTTTTTCGGGTTAAAATTGAAAAATAACCCTTTTTCGGGTTAAAATTGAAAAAAGATGTTACATAAAAATAGTTTGTAAGATTTTCTAACAGCATATATGCAAAGTATTTTGATTTATTTGAAAATAATTGAAAATAGATTTTTCAAGGACGGTGTCGAGGTCACGGGATCGGTGTCGTTTTTCGAAATTTGTTAACTTAATATAATAGAAGATGTTTCGTTTTAAATTAAGAAATGTTAAAATTATTAAGTTAAAAACATTTGATTTTAATGACACTTAAAATTAGACACAATATTATAGGTTACTAACTAAAAATTGAAAAAACAACAATAAATAATAAAAAATAATAATAAAAAATTGAAAAAATCAAAAAATTCTTAAAAAATTGCAAAATAACCCCTTTTCGGGTTAAAATTGCAAAATAACCCTTTTTCGGGTTAAAATTGAAAAATAACCCTTTTTCGGGTTAAAATTGAAAAAAGATGTTACATAAAAATAGTTTGTAAGATTTTCTAACAGCATATATGCAAAGTATTTTGATTTATTTGAAAATAATTGAAAATAGATTTTTCAAGGACGGTGTCGAGGTCACGGGGTCGGTGTCGTTTTTCGAAATTTGTTAACTTAATATAATAGAAGATTTATTTGATAGTTGTTTAATGTAACAGAACTCACATTTAAAATAATTTATATTTAACATAAATAATACTTAATCAAATTTTAATTAAAAATAAGTTTTATTTTAACAAATCTCTATTTTGTAGAATTCTTATTTCATATAATTATTTTAATTGAAATTTTATAAAATAGTAATTTAGTTGAATGAAAATTAGATAAACTATACAATTAATTATATACAATTTAGGATGAATAGAAATTCTATTACATAAAAATTCATTTAAAGGAAAAATCCTTTGATATCAAAATTCAGTTTGAACATAAAGTTTTCTTTATAAAATTCTAATAAATTGAATTCATTTTTTTAAAATTAGACCCTGCGAAAATTATAACAGCCTATTTGTGTGCAAGCTTACTGCGTCCCATTTTTAATGTAAAATTTAAAAATCACATTAATTAACAAACATTTTCCATATTCAATTAAAATGTTGAAAATTAAATAATAAATAAAATTTACTTTTTCCTTGTATTTTTCTGTCCAAGTTCTAAACTTTTCTTATTTTGTCAATTGTTTTCGAATAAGTTTGATTTGTTTGATTGTCAAAAAAAAATTGATTCTTTCGAATTAATGTTATTATAATAAATATTAAACTTGATGAAACACTATTATTTAGACGAAAAGACAATCACCAATTCGAAATATTAAACTCTTTCATTGTATAAGGATTCCTGAATATAGAAGCATTTTTCTCTTATTTTTTTACAATTAACAAAACAGGAAAATATTAATAAAACGTTCTTCTAAAATTTTTCACTTGCTTTGCTATCAGTTTTCAACGGTCAAAATACAAACGGATTTTATCGGAATTTAAACTTTCTTAACCCATGATAATGTAAACAATGTAGATAGTGTATTGCCTTTCTCAGCCGCTAGCCGAAAAATAGGGCTATTCCTTGAAAACCAGTAATTTTTCTCATAAGTTTTTATAGAGATACATAAATATTTTATTTACATTTTGTTCTGATATGAAATAAAAAATAATTTTCGCGTTCGAAAATCATTAATTACATTATTCTAGATCTTCCCACCCCTGTTGCGTTTGCGTCAAATTATTTCCCTCTGTCCCATGCATGCGTTAAAACGTCAACGATGCAGAAACGCAATTTATGAACCAATAGAAACATAGGTTTTCTTCCAGATTCATGGAAATATTTGTTTCAATTAGTTTTTTAAAAATAGTCCTTAATTTATAAGCGTTTTAACGCTACCATGGATATGAGAAAAAATTATTAAACGTCGGCAGTACGTTTTGCGGGAACAATTTGAATATTATCATTTAAATATATATATGAATATAAGAACTTATATTAGCTGAAATATAATAAAAATTTAATTATTACATTTATGTTATGTAATAATAAGTATTTTTTCTGTTATTTGTGTTAAGTTTTTTTATACATTACTATTAACTTCTCGACATTTTTTGAGAGGAGATTGGAAATTATAATGAAGTAATAAAGACAATTTTTATAATAAATAACTTCAATTTTTTACACTTATTTATTTATTTATTAAGAAAAAAGCATAGGGGATTACAAAAGAAAAAAATGCCTTCTCGTACAAATAGTACTAAAATTAATGATGCTGAAGTCCGCAACGTTTTTAAAAACGAAAAAATAATGAGATAATATGTATTATTTTGGTTTAAAATTGAATGTATTTGGGGCTAAGTGTCATCAATAAAAGGATTAACTTCTTAAAAGTTTGTGCAAATCAAAATTAGAGATGAATTGATTTGACAAAATATTATTATTTCAATTTTTTCATTTTAAAAACCTTGCTGACTTCCACTTCATTAAAATTAAATGATATATAACTTCATATTAATTTATTTACAATGTAACATAGATTTTTTCTCCTGTAAAAAGTTTACCACAACAGAAACTTTATAATAAATATAATATTCTTGTAAGATTTATTATTTTTTAAGAGAAAATCATTAATTTTCTCTTAATTGACCTTCTAGTTCCTCTTGCAAAATTTGTTGGAATAATTTTCCAACACGAACTTGTCTTTGTTTTTGTAATTGTTTAAATGTTGGAAGCAAAGAATACAGTGGAGATTCATCAATCTTCTCGTTTGGGGTCAATGATGTGAGAAGGTTTCCATAAAATTCAGTAGACCATGCAGAATCTGTTAAAAATAAGTTCTCAACATATTACCAAACCAATTCTGAGGAATATTAATTTTTTTTTATACACATAATTGTTATCTATTTACTTTCGAACTGTTAATTGCATTTCATTTAAGTTCTCAAAAAGAGACGCACTTATGCTTTACTCAATTTTACATTTTTTAACCAAACTATCAATTGTTAGTTTAAATTTTTAGTTATTTTAACTTCAACGAATAATATTCTTATTTAAACTAAAAATTTGCGTAACAGAAAAGTAATACAAAAATTAATTAAAGAGGCCTAAGCACAATAGACTTTGTACTTCAGAAAGTATAAATCATATTTTAGAGTATTAACAAGAGAATAGAATTTTTCCAGTAAGTACTTTTAAGAAGTAAATAGAAGGCAGAAAGATCATAAATATTATATAACAATATAATATAATATACAACATATTTCTGTGATAATAGTCATAAAAAAATTTTTTGTTATTAATGTTTTAAAAACTGTACTTACTACTATTTTCTTTTCTTTTATTCTTTTTCTTCTTTATCTTATGCTCGGTTTTCTTCTCATTCTCATTCTCAGAATCGGAATCGGATGAAAAAGTATGTAATGTTCTACAAAGTTAACAAAATTATTATAAAACATTACTGTACGAAAAAGTAGGAATTCTTATTTATAAGATAAATGTGTCAATGTATGAGATTTTCAAACTTTGAACTAAGTACAACTATAAAGAAATATTATTTACGATTGAAATTATTGAAATTATATTTCAACTGAAAAAAGAAAACAACACAGCACAAATAACTAAAGAGTAAGTTGTGTAGTCCAAAAAACTGATTAAAATAATTTTCTTTCACCCTTTTTCCTTCATAAGTAATGAGTAAGAGAATTTACATAAATAAATAATGACAACTACTCTGCCCTACAACGGAAGAAAATACATAAGCCACATTGTCGCTTGAGTCGCTCTTTCGCAGTGTTTATATACAGAACTCGACCAAAGCGACAGTGTGGCTTATGTATCTTCTTCCGTTGTAGGGCAGTACTATAAAGTACTGCATTGAATTTAAAAACTTAACAATAAAATGCCACTGACATAAGATATAAAATTTATATAACTCTAAAAGGAATGTTGCTAATATTTTAGTATACCTCTACTGTAAAAGTGAGAGGTTGCAATTTTGTTGTATTGAATCTTTAAAATTATAATACGAATTATTCAAAAAATTTATTAGTGTTCTCCCACAAAAATAATACTTTATAAGGCAATAAAGAGTAATAACTGCTTTTCAAAAACAAATTTTTATTTCTTAGGCAACCAGAAGTTAAAATAAAAAACTTTCAATTATAATATTAAACATTACCTAAAGCATTCTTTACTGCTTACTTTTTATTTCTTTTCACTGTGTAATATTTATGTACAGAAAGTCAAAGTATATATAAAAAATATTTACTTGCATCTTTTTAATTTTTTTAAAAAAGTTTGGTAAAAATATATTTTTTTAAATTGTATTAATCATAAACAAAAATGGTTATTTTTAATTATCTTTAAACTATTTAACGATTTCTTAGTAGTTCTTAGTTTGATAATGTCAAACCAACACACCAAAACGTTGCTAAACAAGTGATTTGGCGTTTTATTTATGAAAAAATCTTAATTTTTTAATATCACAATAATAAGAAAAAAAAATTTTAATATTAAAACGTGAGTTTAAAATCATATGTAAAATATTGTTCATTTAAAAAAAATTATTTACAACTGAAGGTATTTAAGAAGTTGTCAATGAGATAAAATTTGTAAGTTTTCGAGATATCTGTAAAGTTAAATTTAATTCTTAAAATTGTATTTAAAACTAAAGTAAAGAGAATATTATCAATCTCTCCAAGTCATGTCAAAAGTGAGAAAAAAATCAAAAGAAATAGCAAATTCTTTTTACGTTTCGGCAACACTGTTGCCCTCTTCAGAAACGGAAAAGAGAAGTAGAAAATACTTGTGTCACATCTTTGCTAAACGTCGACTATTGACATGACTTGGAGAGATTGATAATATTCTCATTACTTTAATTGAATTAATGACCAAGTGATAAATTCTACATAATTATATATTTAAAATTAATTAATTATTGATAAATTGTAACCTGATTTTGACATGTAACCAGTGTTTGTACATTTAATTTCTGGGTTACAGTTATTTGTTATTTAAAAAGAAATACATACCTCATGGGTTTGGATACGTCAAAACATGTCATCATTTCAAACAATTGAAAATCATCATTTTCTCCTTTTTTTTTCTTTTTTGTTGCAGCTGAACCGCTCGGAATGTACTCATTTCTTTTTAACTTTTCTTTTCGATATTGCCCTAGTAAGTATTTCCATCTACTTTTTAAAATACTCACAGTGGACACACCTAAAGTATTATGAATTTCATTCCATAAATCATTCAATTTTAATGGTGATCGTTCTTTTACAGGCAAGAGATAATTATGTAGAGCAGGCCTTTGCCAAACAGCTGCAATCAGAGATTCATCCCATTCATCGTTCCAGGCCAAATTTTTCCCTTTTACTCTATTACCACTACCAACATCTTGGCAAACTAATAAACAAATATGACGTTATGTAAATTATCTTTTACAAAATAATAATTATTTCTAAAAAAATATTTGATAACAAAAACATAAAACCTCCTCTAGGATAGAAACAATTAAAATTAATCACAATTAATAAAATTTAACTTTTTAGTACAGAAATATTAAATTTTTAATTAAGTTAACTTATTTTTTAAAAAAATAAGCAATTAATTTTTATTTCTTTTCCATGTAAGTTTCATCTAAATATTTACGAAATAATTAGCCGTATTTTGACTAAAATAATAATTCAATTATGTTATCAAATTGCGTTTTTTATTATCCAGTTACAGTAAATAATAACTAAATCTCTTGAAAAGAAAAATTATGTAAGAACAATTGAATAACAATCCAAAAAAAATTATAAACCTTAAAAAACTTGCTAATTACTGTAACAATTTGTACCCAATATTAAAAATTTATATAAAAAAAGATTATAAATATAATATAACTGACTTATTCCAACAACTTTTTGAATATATAAAAATGTCGTAATAGTCATACTTATAGTAACAATATGGTTATCATCAATGTTTATAAATTCGTTCGTTTCATTATAATTGTCGAAACAAGAATGATTCAAAACATCATTCATATCCTTTATAAAATACCCACAATATCCACATTTATGCTTCGCCTAAAAATTAATAATAAAATATAATTAATTATAAAACAGAATATGTTAAAACATAATGCCTACATATATGTTATATTATTAAACATTTTAATGTATTATTTTCTACATAAATAAAGTATCTATTATAATTATTTTATAAACTGCATTTTACTATGAAAATAATAATTTTTATTTCCAAAACAATATATTATATTCAGATACAGGTCTTACATTTTTTTAGAATTAAGGTTTAATAAAACAAAGCCATTATATTACAAATAGTTCGGTTGTTTTAGTGTAAACTATAATAATTGAGGGACAAATTTTCAAAAGTGAATAAATCAATTTTTCAAAAAAATGTAGATAAACACAGATTTAATATATTAAAGACCATACAAATCGATCTATCACTCTTGAATTTCAGAAAAAAATTTTATTAACAAAGAATTTTCAATTATAAAACATCTAAGCTTAACCTAGATGATTTGTAATATTAACTTTTTATATTAGGAAAAATTAAAAAAACCTTTAAATCTTCTAATTAAAATAAACTTTATTTAAAAACAAAACATCTTAAATTCAGAAAAAAAACTCTTGTATAAATAATCAATTACAATTTTTTAGCTCAAATTTAACTTTAGGGGTTATGTGAAAAATTACATTTGTTTAAATTTCTCCAAAAAACAAAATATGGAATTATCAACTTCTGAAATCTTGATTCTCAATTAGTTATTATAGTAGTTTACATTAAAAGAACAATATCATTAAAAATGATTAAAATGAATAACATTTTAATTACAATGAAAATACATATAACCTCAACAATTATCCTACCTGCACGTTTTCCTCCGACATGTTTAATTTTACCTTCTTTATAAAATTATTTTTTCTAATTATTTTTACTTTTTATTAAACTTTATTATTATCAAAATCTAGTCTTGTAATTATTAAATAAACACTAAAAACACTTCAAAGCAACATTCAAACCTTTAAAACAAAACAAACAGCAAAGACGGAAGCTCAGGTATAGCAGAGATGGAACACATTGGAAAAAACGCACAACTGTCGGAAACGCAAAACAAAACGCAAGCATGGGACTTCACCCTTAATCAGGTTGTTAAAGCCTGATATTTATTTTTATGTAGGATCGTGGTCACTTGTCAAAACTACGGGTTTTGCGTTACAATAACAAGTCAAATATTCCCTTTTATAACATTTATTTATTAAATAATAATTATATAGTAATAATTGTACAATAATGATATAAGTTTACAATTCTTTTACTTACTTTTAGCGATGAAGTCGGATAAATCGATGATTATAGCTTAGTCGTTATAAATTGGTTTTGATTTGATTTGAAATAGTTCGTTTTGTTGCACTTGTGTAACTTTAACGACTTTGATTTATTTATTTATTTATTGATCACAAAAGCCCGCAGTCATTATTTGACCATAAATGGGCAACTACATAAGCTTACAAAATAATATAAAATTTTTTACTATTCTAACGAATCAATATAAGAATGAAGCGATTTGGTAAATTGGCCGATAGAATTAAAAAATAAGTCTAGATCGGGTTCCGGCTTTTTGAACATATTATTAATATGATAACTCGCAAAGTTGAGAGGTGCAACTCTCCCGAAAGGTTCATTTTGACGCGACGCAAGTCTAGGAACTCTGAAGGTGATTCTCTCTAGAATGTTAGGCGCATAAATTTGCGATGATAAAATCTTGAACATAAACATACATGCAGCAAAGATTCTTCGTTGATTAATCGATTTAAAATCGAATCGAATACATAGTTCGTTATAATCACACCCACGTGGTGGATAGTTTCCATCACATTTGAAAACTAAAAATTTATGGAACCTCTTTTGAACTTTTTCTAACATTTCATTGTATTTTTGAAATTGAGGATTCCAAATAAGTGAATTATATTCTACTTTAGATCTGACAAGAGCGAAAAATAAAGTAGTCAGTGTTTCTTGCCTATAAAAATGTTTGGCTGTTCTGAAGAGGTATCCCCAAGCTCGAGACGCAGATAAGACTAATTTAGTAATATGTTCCTTAAAGTTTAGTTTATCATCAAAAATAACGCCGAGATCACAAGTTGAATAAACTTTTTCTAAATTTGTACCATTCAACATATAGTTTCCAACAAAAGGTTTCTCCTTTCTCGTAAAAGACATTATGTGGCATTTCGAAAGATTCAAGGGAAGTTTATTAACAATTGACCAAGATAAAATTGTATTAAGATCATTTTGGAGTTCATCTATGTCTGATTGTGATTGAATAACACGAAAAACCTTAACGTCGTCCGCAAAAAGTAAAATAAATGATTTAATGTCATTGACAATGTCATTAATATAGATAGAAAAAAAGGGGGATCCCAGGGACGAACCCTGAGGAACACCCTTATTTGGAACAAAAACACCGGATGACACTCCACCAATTGAAACTTTATGAGATCTTTGATATAAATAGTTTAATAATAAAATACGTAGATTAATAGGAATATCAAAGTCAACTAATTTATTAGCTAAAATTGAGTGATCAATTAAGTCAAAAGCTTTAGAAAAGTCAAGGAAGGCCACATCAACTTGAAGACATTTTTGTAATGCTTCATTTATTATCTGTGTAAAAATTACTAGATTCGTAAGTGTAGATTTTCCTTTTAAACACCCATGCTGTTCATCAACAATAATTTTTTTCAAAGCAATCTGCAATGTTTCAGAGATAGCTTTCTCGAAGACTTTAGCAAAATTTTGTATATTAGCGATAGGTCTATAGTTATTTACAATCGTTTTATCACCTGCTTTATAAACAGGACAAAGAACGGTGCTGAAAAATGGCCAAAATTTGCCCATGCGGGAATTATGAAAAACGAGTAGTTTCCCATAGTTTGAACCCTGCTGAATCCGAAAATGATAGTTAGAATCTTGCAAACCTGAGGGAAAGGGATGAAAAACTACCCCTAAATAAGCAATTCCAATAATTCACGACAATTAAAATGCAGTCAAGTAACATCTAAAAAATAAACCAAAATCGCTTGAAAATTGTTACTCGGGGGTTTTCGGGGTCGCTGATTACGAAAATGATGTTAGTTTTTGAAAATTCAAAATGGCGGATCCAATATGGCGGATGAAAATTTTAAAAATCCACAAAATTTGCTTAAAACTCGTTACTCGGGAGTTTTCGGGGTCGCTGATTACGAATATGATGTTAGTTTTTGAAAATTCAAAATGGCGGATCCAATATGGCGGACGAAAATTTTAAAAATCCACAAAATTTGCTTAAAACTTGTTACTCGGGGGTTTTCGGGGTCGCTGATTACGAATATGATGTTAGTTTTTGAAAATTCAAAATGGTGGATCCAGTATGGCGGACGACTTTTTTAAAAAATCTTGAGAATCGCCTGAAACTTGTTACTCGGGGGTTTTCGAGGTCGCTGATTACGAAAATGATGTTAGTTTTTCAAAAATTGGAAATGGCGATTCCGATACGGTTGGACAGTTTTCTATGAACCGTCGTATTAGCTTGAAACCACTAATATTTACTATTTGAATTGTTCTAGACATCACTTACTGTTTATTTATACGTATACCCAAGAAGCACGTCATATATCCTCAATATCAAGCTAATATTACACGTGAGATTCGTAATATAACGCTGTAATATTACAGTAATCTTACAGTGATCTTAAAATGTCCGCCTCAAGGTAATATTACCGGGAATAATACTGTAATATTACCGGGAATATTACTGCAATATTAACGGTAATATTACAGTAATATTAACGGTAATATTACAATAATATTAACGGTAATATTACAATAATATTACAGACTGATTTGAGTTATTCATAAAGCATAAAAAACGTAAATATATTATAAGTCAATTTGGCTTGTTGGTAAAACTCTGGACTCGTGTGCTTTGAGTTCGGGGTTCGATTCCCTGGATGGGTAGATTTTTTTCGTAAAGAAATATTCCCATAATATTACTGTAATATTCTCTTGTAATATTACCTTAATATTACGGTATAATATTACTGCAATATTACTGTAATATTACCTTAATATTAGCGCGTAATATTACAGTAACATTACCGGTAATATTACCTTGAGGCGGACATTTTAAGATCACTGTAAGATTACTGTAATATTACAACGTTATATTACGAATCTTATATGTAATATTACCTTGATATTGAGGATATATTACGTGCTTCTTGGGTATACGTATAAATAAACAGTAAGTGATGTCTAGAACAATTCAAATAGTAAATATTAGTGGTTTCAAGCGAATACGACGGTTCATAGAAAACTGTCCAACCTTATCGGAACCGCCATTTCCAATTTTTGAAAAAGTAACATCATATTCGTAATCAGCGACCCCGAAAACCTCCGAGTAACAAGTTTCAGGCGATTCTCATTATTTTTTAAAAAAGTCGTCTGCTATACTGGATCCGCCATTTTGAATTTTCAAAAACTAACATCATATTCGTAATCAGCGACCCCGAAAACCCCCGAGTAACAATTTTCAAGCGATTTTGGTTTATTTTTTAGATGTTACTTGATTGCATTTTAATTGTCGTGAATTATTGGAATTGCTTATTTAGGGGTAGTTTTTCATTCCTTTCCCTCTGGTTTGCAAGATTCTAACTATCATTTTCGGATTCAGCAGGGTTCAAACTATGGGAGACTACTCGTTTTTCATAATTCCCGCATGGGCAAATTTTGGCCATTTTTCAGCACCGTTCTTTTTGCTGATTTCCAATCAGACGGAAAGACTCCCGTTTTCAACGCCATGTTAAAAATTATAGTCAATGGATAATCTAAAACAGAAGCACAATCTTTAATGAAAAAACTTGGAACATTATCAGGGCCTGATGTCATAGTAGCCTTCATTGACTTCGCACTCTTAAGAACAATGTCTTGACTAAGTAAAAAAAATATTATTACCGAAAAAATTTTTATGATTTTGGAAATTATAATTAATATGGGTTGGAGTACCTGCATAGCACTCAGAAAATAGTGTTCGGAAAGCGTTAACGATAGATGGATGGTCATCCAGGGCAGCTCCTCTAAAAGACATTACATTAGGCAAGTTGTAGTTTGTTCTTTGTTTATTCACAAAACTCCAAAAAGACTTCGGTTTTAATCAAAAGTTTGATTCAACTAACTTAAAATAAGAATAATAGTTCTTTCTTATGCTTTTATGAATAAGATTTGATAAGAGTTTTATTTGAATATTACAAAATGATGGATTGCTTTTTCTTTTTTTAGCATCAATTTTTTTAAGTTAATCTCATTGATAATCTGTTTAGTAAACCACGGAGGATATTTACGACTTTTATTACGCTGAGAACGCCGGGGAATAAATTGAGAAAAGGCCTCGAAAATAATACAATTAAATTCAGAACAAGCTATGTTAACGTCTGAGATAGATTCTAAAAATGACCAATCAATTGTAGATAAGTATACATATAAATTCGGAAAATCAGCTTTTATAAAATTGAAATCAGGTAAAAGATTATAATCATTATTTGACGTGGTAATATTATGGTCAAAAGTAGATGATATATATCTGTGCGGAGAAATATAACAAATTTCGATGTCAAGAGCCGGATGGTAAATATCCTCTGGGACAATAGGATAGATCGCTTTGTTTACATTAGTAGATAAGTTAGAAAAAATCAAGTCGAGGAGACGATTGAGATTATTATAAATGCCATTAGTTTGATCAAGATTTAAAAAATTCATAAAATTAAGAAGTGCAAACTTTTTTGACTAAATTGCAATAGGAGCAGAATTATCGCAAAAATTAGGACAATTAAAATCACCTATTATGACAATTGGGTGTTGACTTAGTAGTTCACAATTTGAAAAGGAATTAAAAAATAAATTAAATGATTCTGGGCTTACATCAGGTGGAATGTAAATGGCTATAATAATAAACTTTATAGTATGCTTAGATAATAACACTCCAACAATGTCAATCCCCAAATTCAAATTGTGTATAAGAGAAAAATCGATTGGTATTACCTTAAAGATTGAGCTAATGTTTTATAACTATTTAAAGAATTACAATATTCTTTATTGTTA